GAGGGTCCTGGGACCCGGCCGGGGGCGCCGGGCCCCTGGGAGCACGGAGCGTGCTGGGACCCAGCCGGGGTCTCACCGGCGTCGCGGCCCGCGCGGTGTGAAGAGCGTGGGGCGGCGGCGGGAGCGGGATCCCGGCAGGCCTGGCGCTCACCCGGCTTCTCCCCTTGGGGCCCTCCCCAGTCTCCAGGTTCATGGGGCCATCGGCGGGCGTGAACGTGGCCGGCATGGGGTCGCTGACGGGCATCGCGGACGCCGCCAAGACGCTGGCGCCGTTGCATGCGGCTGCGGCGGCTCCGCGAAGGAAGCGTCGCGTGCTCTTCTCGCAGGCGCAGGTCTACGAGCTGGAGCGTCGCTTCAAGCAGCAGAAGTACCTGTCGGCTCCCGAGCGCGAGCACCTGGCCAGCATGATCCACCTGACGCCCACGCAGGTCAAGATCTGGTTCCAGAACCACCGTTACAAGATGAAGCGGCAGGCCAAGGACAAGGCGGCGCAGCAGCTGCAGCAGGAGGGCGGCCTGGGCCCTCCGCCGCCTCCGCCGCCGTCCCCGCGTCGCGTGGCGGTGCCCGTGCTGGTCAAGGACGGCAAGCCGTGCCAGAACGGTGCCAGCACGCCGACACCCGGCCAGGCCGGCCCGCAGCCACCGGCCCCGACGCCCGCGCCTGAGCTCGAGGAGCTGTCGCCCAGCCCGCCCGCGCTGCACGGCCCTGGGGGCGGCCTGGCGGCCCTGGACGCGGCCGCGGGGGACTACGGCGGCGGCGGCGGCGTGCTTGGCGCCAACCTGCTCTATGGCAGGACGTGGTGACCGCGCGGGCGCCCCGGGGCGGGGTCCTGCCTGCGGCGCGGAGGGTTTGTAAGAAACTTCGAGAACGGATGGGGAAAACACACCGAAGCTGACTCTTGAGTACACGGAGATCAAAAACTAATGAACGGGTCATGGAGAGGGGTAGCCTGTGAACCTCTTTGCTGGGGGGGGGGGGGGGAGGAACAGCGACAGCCCCGGAATTGAATAATACGACGCCAGAAGGCTGTGAGGTGGTGATTTCCTCCTTCAGAAGTTCCTAAATTATTCGAAAAGCTGGCTGAGTTCACATCCACCACGTTCCTAACCAAAGCTCTCAAGAGTTTTAAAAGTTGGAAACTTTGTTGGTGTTTGTAGCTCTAAAAATCAACCCAGCTTTAACAATGAATCCTTTTTTGAAGTGGAATTTGAGAGATTAATTTTCAAAGGCCTCCCCCTTAAGTGCAATTTCATTAATGTTTGATTGAAAGTAACTTGTAGCTCAAGGTGGATCATGCACATAGCAACATTATTGCAGGGGAATTATTGCCATTTAGGTAATAGAGAAATGGAATAAAAATAATCAAAATACTGCTTATATGGATTGATACAGCTTTTTAAATTTAATGGCGATTTTAAAATGTTTTGATCGTTATTTGGCAAATGAGTGTTTTTATATTACTCTAAAAGAGGATATTTCCTACCTAAGATGCAGCTTGTAAGAGGGAAGGGTTGTAAACTACTTTTTATGTAGAATCTGGTCTCCCAAAATCAAACGATAAAATAAATGCGCGCTGTCTTTCCATGGACCTGTTATTTGCTCTAAGTTATTTGCCTGTCTGAATTTGAATACCTTGATAAAATACTAGAACAAGCAAGCGAATTTGCTAAAATTGACATCAGTCTATATTCCAAAGCATGTCAAGAAGGAAGAGAATAAGGTGATTTATTGAATTGTAATCAGAATGTAAAGAGTAAGAATTATAATTTTCCCATTATATTTGCAACTTAATAGGGGTTGCACACCGATTTTGTTGGTGTTTTGTTGTACAAATAATGTATTTACTCTTTAATATGCCAATTTATATTTCCTATGTTTCAAATGAATATTTAAATATAACTTAAAAAAATCTTAACTACTTTTTTGGTTAAAGTCAAGTTGTCATTTCTTTTTCACTAAGTTGTATAGGTTTTATTTTGGTTTGGCTTTTTTTTTTTTTTTTTAACAGTAGTTGGCATGACAAGACAATGCATCTCAGTTTACTCATGATTTAAATAACTGGTATTGGAGTAAAAATACCAAAAGCAAGCTGAAGAATGTTAGCTTATAAAATGAATGAAAAAGACCTAACATGGATAAAGCGTGATTTATAAATGATCACAAATAGTCACCAGAGACCCTAAAACTTTTACACATCTGAAGTTTTAGAATTAGTCTGAGACTGAAACATTTCATTTCACTTCATTGTTCGGGTGTTTTTTGAATGTGCAAAGTGAATCCTTCAGAAGGTGTTTTAGAAATTAAACTTGCACTTTCTCTAAACTGTATTTTACATAATAATGATAAAACTCGGTCCCTTTCACATAGGGGAAAAACAACCACTGAACAAGCAGGTGCATCATCTTTATCAAGGGTGTGTGAATGCATTTTTGGAAAATCAGAACTAATTTTTTTAAAAACATTTTACATAAAAGGAAATAATTTGAGCAGAAAAAAATAGTATGAAAATGGTGTAATACACTTATAGAAAATTCTCCCAATTTGGGTTTTTGCATATTGATAGAATTGATTTTCAAAATTTTTGCCAAGCTAGCATAATTATTACCAATGTGCCAAATTTCAAAATGCTTGTTTATATTGATTTGATTCCCTCATAGCAGTACAAGAATTCTGAAATTTTACTTCTAGAAAATGTGTTCCAAAAGTCCACATGGTTTGCAATATATATATTTTACAACCCAGTATTTACCAATAATAGCTTATGGACTAAGGGCTCCAAGTAACATATTTAAAGAAAACAATCTTCATGCACAGTTTGTCCCTTGATAATTTATTTTTGGAACAAAGAATCTCATAGACTAAGTGAACTCTGTATCCAAAAGATAATTAAGAAAAAACAGCTTTTATACAGTATTTTCTAAAAGTGTATTTGCTGTAGGCATATCTTTTTCCTTTCAGCATTCCTTTAAGTAGTAGAGGAACCACTGCCAGAAGTAATCGCTGCAGAAGTAATCGCTGCAGATGGCTTAACATTCTACACCCAGAAATGCACTGAGTTTATGTGTGCACATTCCGAAATTAGGATAAGGTTTGTTTCTTGAAACACTGAAATAGAAAATGTTTTTGCTATAGAATTCCACATTCTGATTAATGCAAAGCAAGAGTTTTTTTTCTTTTCTTTCAATTAGTGCTTTGCAGATCTTTTATAAAAACACAAACGGCCAGACTAGGTGAAACTCATTAACTGAAGAGGAGGATAAGTGTCTTCACAACCAAGAGGGAGGGCCGAGGCAGGGTCTGAGTGGAACAAAGCCCTCTCGAAGTTTAACAGAGGCCACAGCAAAACTCGGTTCCAGAAATGCTAACTGCAGATGTGATATTTTCCTAAATGTTTTGGGGCTGTACAACAAGCTTATCTTTTCCAGTTGAGGCACAGAAACAAAAATCCAAAATCAAAGTTGCAGAGAGGAACAGCAGGGATTGCAAGTACTTTTCTGTGATCTGCGTTGGGATGTGAATGAAAGCTTTGAGTGTGTGGTAGTGTGCAATGTTGAAGGCACAGGAATGGTGTTTTGTATATGAAGCATGGAGGGTGTAACCCAGTTGTTTTCTATTTAAGGCTTTGCTTAGAATTAAAACCTAATGGTCAGAACAAGTAGTCAATCAGACTTTTATCAACACAGATGTTATGTCCAAACTCCATTCTGCTATCAATTGTTTACTTTCAATTTAAAGCAAATCAGAAACTCTATCCCGTTCACTAAATGCAAGCACTTTCCAAAGAATGGCTTTGTTAGCGGCATTGAATGATGATTTAGAAAGACTTTTGGAGTAAATTTGTAAACCACAATCACATAAAGACCCATCAACTGAGTTTTTAGATACGAATTTGTGCATAAATAATGCATATGTAGCGGCAATACAAATTTCAGATGTTCAAAGCATGAATGATATTGCCCAACCGGTTAACACAACACTAACATGTGTGGATAAACCCCTGTATGTTGACTATTTTGGCCCAATTTTTTAAAATGCTGCTAATTGCCATGCCCAACCCCGATGAGACGGGGGACTAGGATACAATTTATTAAAAAAAAAATTAATAGCTTTTTACTGCTAGTGAGAATTGGTGAGCAACTGGAGAAGATTCAGAGAAAATGGCAGACAGGCGCTGCTTTCACATTCCGTCAGGAATTTGCTCTCCCTAGTAAGTACTGAGAAAACTTTGTGATTTCAAGATCACTTTTATTATTTTTAAGTTGGGGGGTGGTGGAAGCTTCTGGGAGAGTTTTTTGGTTTCATTATTTTTGCTTTAGATGTTTACCTGCAATTGAATGAAATGTGTACCCGAAATTGAATGAAAGGCCTTTTATTTTTTTAATCCCTTGTAACCTCTATTTCATTGTTTAGGTGACTTCTAATAAAGGTTTAACCACTAACATTGCCCAACTCTAAGTTGTGCTAACTATTTTGCAGTAATGAATAACTCTATTCCCATTTCACATACAAAAATCAAAGCATGTTCTCTCTTGGCCCTCATTCCATAAATACGAAATCCAGAAACAAGCAATACAAGCGGTTAACTTTACCGAATGGAGGAAAAATCCATCGAGAACGGGCCGTTTGTTATTTTATTGTTTGTTGACTTTTTTCTTGGTTAGAAATAGCAAGACAGTCGATCTCCAGGAATAGTCTGGCGGGATCTCAGCTCCCTGACCCTCTGGAGTGATCTGGAAGAGGCGTCGGACGAGCCAGACGGAGCCAGACAGCTTTCAGCGGTCCGGGAATGGGGAGTCTTAGTTGACTCTTAAGAGAATGTCTAAACTTTAGATTTCTAAGCTTAGCTAAATTCGGTTACACTCAGACTTAGAACTTAAAACTGCAGACTCGGAAGTAAGATCTCCGCTGTCCCCTTACAGGATCGGTGTATGCATTTCGTGCAGGGAGTTGAGAAGGTAAAACGAGCAGGTGAAAAAGCTGCGGCGCCACTTCCAGGAACCGAGGATCGCTGCTGCAATGATCCACTTGGGGCCTGGCGGTGGCCGCGATACACAAACCACACTGCGGGTCGGGGGTTTTGAACTTCCCTGTGCCCACTCTGCTCGACACCGGCGGCTCGAGGGACTCCGGAGTCGGCGAACGGCTGGACGCGAGCCGGGGCGCCGGAGGGCGGGGCAGCGAGCGCTGAGAGGAGCGGGTGGGCCCCGGGAGCGCTTCCCCACCCCGGGACCTAGGACCTTGCCTCTGAGAAGCAGCCCTTCTGTCCCCTCCGTGCCAGGCCCGCAGCTCCCGGACGCCGCCACCGTCCCGCCCGGCTGCGATGTCACAGCGTCCCGAGGCCCTCGCCTCGGTCGGAAGTGCGCCCGACCTCCAACGCGCCCCGCGGAAAACCGGAGCTCGGAACCCTCAGCCCCACCCCGGCCCGCCCAGACGACCCGCGCCCTCGGACGAAAATTAACCATCGCTCATTACACGTAATTTGCCTTTGTAACGCCAAATGGCAATCTAATAGTTTGTAGATGGCTTTGTATTTTAACGTGCATTACCTCATTTGATCCTTAAAAGGAAGACAACTGCTCATTAAGGGCCCTTAGCGCCACAATAAAGTCACTCTGTTTCATGTTCTAAGATTTTTAAGCATCTTTAATATGAGACCCTGAAAACCTGTGTTCTACTTAAAGATAATTATTTAAATTTGGCCCATTAACTACTTTTACCCCCGAATATGGAGGGCATGTTTATAGCTTTAAATATTCCATTTTAAGTTCTAAGAAGCTTTCACTTGTTGAAATAATAAGGCTTTTTTTTCTGGCAGATTCAGGCGGGGAAAGAGAGGGAGGAAGAGTAAGGGGCGAGAGGAGGGAGCAAGGAGGAAGGAATGGAGCAGGTCCAGAAGTGAGGGTTCAGCTAGCTGGCAGGTGTCCTGCAGGGCACCCGACCAGGTAGAGGGAATCTAGCTGGCACTGCTTTTCCATCAGGCTTTTTGCTTAGATATCTGTCTTCAAAATACTTTAAACATTCATTTTCAAATTTAATTTGTTAAAAGAGTTACATGTAATTATGCAAAGGCCGAGCAAAAACAGTTATTTTATACACACTCATGGTAACTTAAGATTAAACAAAAACTGAAAATCTGAGAAATTATAGGTTATGTGGAAGTGTGGGTTTGGGGTACCTATAAAGCTATAGAGAGTAAGACATTTATATGGGCTCCTTTGGAATATGCAATACTTGATTTGGGTGGCTATTCGTTTGTGGTATTTGGAAGATAGAGAAATTTAACAGAAGGTGTTATCACTTTAACATATTGTGAAGGTTATAATGGTTGTGTTAATTCCCAGCAGAGAGCCTTTGTCTCAACAATGAAGGACCCTACTCTATTCACCCACCACCAGCAAAGAACTCAATAGCTTCAAAATACCTTCCTATTTAAGATTAAGGTGGCCTTTTCTCTGCATAGGCTAAGATGAACAAGTGTGCCTTAGCTGAAATATTAAAGCAAAAATGTCCTAAGTCAGAAGGTCAAAGAAAAACCTTATTCTACAATCTTGGCTTAGAATAGGCAAATGGAAACAAAGCAGCAAGTCTTCACATGTGTGTGTAAATTTGTTGCGACAAATGAAAGTACATATGGTAGTAGCATGTGTGAACAGCAAGAATAAATTTAAGGAGTAATACTGTGCTGACTAGCAAGAAAAAAATGAGTACAAACAAATTATTACAAAAAATGCAAAAAATATGCTAAGGAGCACAGACTAGCTATAAATTAAACTTTTCACCTTTTCTTAAAGACGTAAAACGACTTAAGTCCTTAAAACTGGAGCACAAGTCTATATGAAGTTTATAAAATATAAATAACTGATTCTTACAGAGATTGTAGTTAGCCAAGTCAGTAGCTGACATACTAATTAATATATGAGTTTGTTGGGTTGTCTTGCTTCTTCACGGATTTTCTTTTGACCTCTAATTGTAGAAATGAATTGTTTTCTGAAAAAATGACTTAAAAAAAAAACAAGTGGCCAAGATTCTCAATGTTGAAATTCTATAATAAGGACACAAGAGACCAGAGTTTTCTTTTTTTTTTTTTTTACTAAAGTCCAGAAATTTCCATAAGACAAGTACATTAATGAAATGTTTCCAAAGAAATACCGAACAATATACACTCTAGTTAGCTGAGGGTTCCAGCTCGAGTTCATACCTAATTCTTGTGCATTAAAAATCAGCATGGATCTTAGATGATCTAGAATACACTGTGTTTTAAAATCCACAGCTGGTTTGATTTTAACCATAATGAAAAACCAGTATTCCTATTCCATCAAATGTGTTTTACAAGCAGTAATAAATTCAGATCCACTGTATTATGCAACACACATCTTTGGAAAGCAACATAAACAGTGAGATCAGGTCAGTAGAAATATACACAGTTAAAAGAAATACACAAAGTACTGTAGTTTTATTAAAAACTACTACTTGAGAAAGAAATCTTTCCACAAATAGCATAAAATTGTAGAACGATGAAAGGATTTGGGAAAGCTTTACAAAAGCCTAATTCCAACTGTATCTTCCTGAGGGTGGTGGCAAAGGGTATTTCCTTCCTTCTCTGGGATATCCCTGAAAATAAGCAAAAGCAAGAGTTTATTTTCTGGATTAACACCACTTCAAAGAAATTAATTTTACATTTCTCTGGAAAAACACACCTTAAAGAAGCTGAATATGCCTTAAAAGTATATCCTATGGAAGGTCTGTCATAAATAGGTACTTTAGGCCCCCAGTTTTATGCAAAGCTTGCTACAAATGCTACCACAGAAAACTACCCAAAGGAGCCTTAACAGGCACTTAAGAAACTCCTCAAAATGCACACAAATGAACTACAGTTAAGTGTTCTGTGTAAAAGACTAGTGGTTCTCAATCTTCCCTGCCATCCCTGGCAGTAATTCAAGTCACATTGTGGTAAGATGTCCACATCATCTTTAGACATATGCTAGAAGTCATTTTGCTTAACCAAGGCAAGAGCTTGCTAAGTAAGTCAGCTGAAGCCTAATGAACTATTAATTTTAGGGATTTTGTTTGTTTGTTTGTTTAGCTATAGATAGTAGAGTATTAAGTAACACATGAGATTATTACATAATCAATTACTGGTGACATTCACAACATACCCTAGTAAGCTTGCAAATAACATTTCCGTACAAAAAAAATTCCCTCACAATTCCCTTTCCAGGCCTCTAGGATTCTGAAACAGACTCCCCACCCCAGACCCTGCCTCTGTGTTGTCATTCAGTAGTTTTAAATATGAGTATGTGTAGATCATTAAGGCCTTTTTTAGTCATATAAACTTCACTAAATATAGTGAAGTCATAATTATACTGTTTTTAACAATGAACTTCTGCAATTTAATAGTGCTTCAAAACCTGTGATTTTATTTAAAAAGTAGCTCTGTGAAAAAAGAGACTGAGAAAAAGAAACGTATTTCTAAAAGATCCTAAAAGAATTATAAATTTACCAATTGGTTTAGATCTTCTAAGTGAATAATGATTTTACCTGCTGTAACAGCAGAGAGTTCCTTCCAAGGAACACCTCCTCTGAAGGAGATGAGAAACCGGAGGAACTGGGCTCAGAAGGACCAGGCAGCCAGTCCCCAGCTCTGCTGCCCAAGTGCAGGTGCCGCAGGATTGTGATTTCCCACTTGGAAAATGAGGTGATCAGACTAAAAATTCTCCAGGGTTTCTTCTTCTTTATAAGTATGTCCCCATATCAAAAATACTCATTATGTAGACTACCTACTATCATCCCGTATAAAGGGGCAAACTATTGATATGATTTTTAGACCTCTGCAGCTGACAGTAATTCAAAGTAAAATTCTATGAACAGATTTTAATAAATTGTTAAAAAAATTCTCTCAAAAGATAATTAAGATGATTATTTTCTTGTAAAGTGAACAGCCTTGTAAGAAGATACACAAAAAAGTATTTTAAAAAAAGAGATCTTCCTAAGCTTTCGAGAGAGAGGTCTTCCACAAAGAGATGCGTGGCAAATATCTGTGTAAGAAAATTAATATTCAAAGCACTGCAAAAGGCCTGTAGGCAACATCAGGTAAGCAATTTTAAAACCACTTCACATCACCACAGGTGCTAAACTCCATGAACACTGCACACACTAAATCGTAGCATTCTGACCCTGTTCTCTGGTAAGGATTTGATTGCAGAGCATGTAAATACTGTCCAGGGCATCAAATGGTTGGGGGACAAATAGACTGAGGCAAACAGACCTCTGTCTTAAATTTTGCTAAAACTGGATGCTTTATAAAGAAATGAAGCTTACACATACCAAATAAATTTGTCTAGGAACTGTTATACTCAATATACAGCTATTTTAAATTTAGCTGAAGAAATGTGGGAAATAATGAAGGAGAGATTTCTTTCTATGAAAAGGTGTATCCACAGATGAATCAATACAGGAGATCTCTAAGATGAATAAAGGTAACAGCTAAAGGGTAGACTGTTACTTTCAGCTTCTAGAAAATTATCATCTATTATGAAATCTAGTTTCTACTAAAACAAAGAACAACATCCTTAAAGGATAAAAAAATGTTTTGGCAACTGACTATTTGTGCTAAATATTACTGACTGCTATGATTAAAAGGGCTTTGGGGCTGGAAAATCTTTAGCATCTTCAGGGTGTAACAGATGTAGTAAGGCACATATTCACTCTATATACATTTTAAAATGAAGGACCCAGTTCAGCTGAGCTACTCTATTAGTATCTTATCCAGAAATGTTTTTAAGAAAATATGGTGTCCTGAGAAGCATGGCTAAGTACAAAGTAAGCAGCGTGCTTTTCATCCCACAGCCCACACTGTATCACCTGTCTCCCTCCACGATCATCACGTCTGGGTGGATACCCGCCAGGTCCAGCTAGCATCTGGTACTGGTTTGGCTGGAAAGCTGCATTTTGGGTTTGGAGCATCCGGTTCCATGGCAGCAGAGGTTCAGCCCCAACACCTCTGTGGAGAAGTATTATGTCTGCATTATAAGTCAAACCTGTTACACAGCCCAAAGTCTCAAAGTGGCTAGCATCATCTCCAACTCTGAGGACAATTCAATTTGCCTGCATTTGTCAAATGGGACATACAGCATCAGAGTGACCTTTATGCTCCTCACATTCGATGTAGTCTAACATGTTTTAAGTATCAGCATTTTAAGAAAAGGGATCTAAACTCGAATGCATCAGAAACATGACTTAAAATATTTTGTTCATTTTCAACTGTGAAATTTCCTTTTTGGTCACTTAAAGATTTGGACCCAAGATCACCAAGTTGGTTACATTTAAGATGCTATCCAAAGAGTAAACATGTACAAGACAAGAAAATGGGCTTTATTTTTAAAAATGTCTAGACTCGTTCTTGGAGTCCATTCTTTCTAGTTAATTGCAGGTTGCAAATGAATTCTTACTGCTCAGTATTTTGAATCTAGGGTAGGGGGACTTGGCTGTTTTTTCCCATCCATTATGCTGCTCAATATGTCAGAAGGTCTGATCGGGAGGAAACCTTTTCAAGTTCTATTGATGCAGCTTTCAATTGACCACGGTGACCTAGCAACATGAGCACTAATTGGCATGGGCTGACTGGCATTTGGTGTACAGTTTACATGGGAACACAGATTCAACAGCTATTATAACCCAGTTTGCTGGCCCGGATTACTAGTCAAAAGAAATGTTTTAATTGTCTTCAAGTGCCTATTTTAACTTTGCAGATACAAAGCAACAGGTATGATGTATTAAATCATAATGTAAAACTGTCACATAAACAACGTAGCCAAGATACACCTTCTAAAGACAATCACCATTTAAGACACAATTTTTTTGAGGCATTTTCAACTTCCATTTTATAGAACAGTCACTATAGAAGCAAAATTCTCCAATATATTTTAATACCAGATACTTTGAGGCCATTACAGATTTTAGGAGAAATTACAGAACTTTAAAATTGCTAAAGCACTGACTAGTATTAACTATAACCACACCAGCATATGAATTTCATGTCCCAGGTGTTGGGGGTGGGAGGGAACAGCCTGAAGTTGGGCTCACTGGGTAATGCGTTCTTCTCACAGGCTATTCAAACCTGAATCTATCCTCTCTACCCTCCCACTCTCCTTGCCTTCACTTGGAGCTTGCCTTTTTTTTTTTTTTTTAATACCAAAGATAATTCTTTTTGTGTGATGACTCAAAGAACAACTCTTTGAAGAACTATAGAGAAGCCAATACTATTCTTCACGGTTAGTGGTGAAACCAGAGCTCTAACCAATAAAATTTGCTGTACTCAAAATAAAAAATATATCTCAGAAGAAATATCCATACATTCAGGGCTTCTAATTACTATTCAGGTTCCTTATTAATACAAATATATTTTAGCAAGAGTGCCTCACCTCTTTAGCAAGAACAGTTATGCAGAGAGATAGGAATGTTCTCTTCTGGTCTCTACACGAGTGAGGGGTTAATGTTTTGTACTGTAACCAAGGAGGCTCATCAAAACTGGGCCATTAATGCAAAACCCACATGCCAAAAATGCAACTCACACATTGTGTTAACTGTAATCAATTTTTATTTTCAGAACTGCAATGATCAAACTCACTCAACTGAGCTTCTGGAGAATCTGCTAGTATGGATGGTATATATTATAAATGCAAGTTTACATTATTGTATGTTCTAAAACTAGGTTAGAAAGCCACAGTTTAAAAACACAAAGTTCTCTCTTTGTTCGAAATAATTACTTAAAATGTTTTTGACTAAGATAATTTTTATAAAAATAATTTAATTGAAATTAGGGCGCCTGGGTAGCTCAGTTGGTTAAGCAACTGCCTTCGGCTTAGGTCATGATCCCAACGTCCTGGGATCAAGTCCCACATTGGGTTCCCTGCTCCTCGGGGAGTCTGCTCCTCCCTCTGCCTGCAGCACCCCCTGCTTGTGCTCTGTCAAATAAATGAATAAAATAAAAAAAAATTAAAAAAAAGAAAAATAATTTAATTGAAATTAAGCAAAAAACAGTAAGAGGGCCTGGTACTATCCTCTTGCTTTTTACTGGCAGCCCCTTCTTTTCCACAGGTTTACCATATTTCTATACTAATTGTATTAATTTGCAAATAGTTACAAGTAAATTTGCCTTCAAAAATACACTTTAGGAGACGAACCATGAGAGACTATGGACTCTGAAAAACAAACTGAGGGTTCTAGAGGGGAGGGGGTGGGGGGATGGGTTAGCCTGGTGATGGGTATTAAAGAGGGCACGTTCTGCATGGAGCACTGGGTGTTACATGAAAACAATGAATCATAGAACACTACATCAAAAACTAATGATGTAATGTATGGTGATTAACATAACATAATAATTATGATGTAATGTATGGTGATTAACATAACATAATAATAATTATGATGTAATGTATGGTGATTAACATAACATAATAATAATTAAAAAAAAAAGTTGGGGTAAAAAAATACACTTTAGGGCTCCTGGGTGTCTCAGTCGTTAAGCGTCTGCCTTCAGCTCTTGTCATGATCCCAGCATTGGGCTCCCTGCTCAGCGGGGAGCCTGCTTCTCCCTCTCCCACTCCCCCTGCTTGTGTTCCCTCTCTCGCTGTCTCTCTCCATCAAATAAATAAATAAAATCTTTAAAAAAAAATACACTTTAAATCTGGGACTGAAGTATTGAGGTTGACACATTTTAACTTTTTTAAAGTGGCTATCTATTGAGGCAACTTATCTGAGGCACTTGGCAGCATGGATGGTAAACATATATACAACATTATTGCCAACATTTGATTTTCTTTTTTTTAAATATTTTTTAAAAATTTTAATTCCAGTATAGTTAACACACAGTGTTAGTTTTAGGTGTAAAACACAGTGATTCAACAATTCCATACATCACCTGGTGCTCATTATGACAAGTGAGTACCTTAATCCCCATCAATTATTTCACCCATCCCCTACCCACTTCCCCTCTGGTAATCAGCGTTTGTCCTCTATGGTTAAGACTCTGTTTTTTGGTTTTTGTCTACGACAACAATATTCTTAAGTTTCTAAATTTCCGTTTTGGAAAGTAGCCTGCAATATAAAGTAACTACCACCAATTTGGATATTTTAAACTTATATATATGGCAATTTTTAAAGATTTTCCATGACTGACTAAGCTTAACGACCGTTAAGTTAAAAACTAAATGGCCACCTTGGATATGGCCAGAAAAGAGAAGCCCCCACTGGCAAGAATTACATGGACAATAGGCCAGAACTCAAGCAACAAAGAGAACTCAGATACTCTGTTTACCATTTACTCAGTTCGCACTGGCTTGTCTCTGTGCGGGGAGGCAAGGGAGGGGCAGCGTTCCTGTTATATATATTTTTTAAATATTTACTTATTTTTGAGAGAGAGAGAAAGAGAACATAAGTGAAAGGGAGCAGAGAGAGAGGGAGAAAGAATCTCCAGCAGATTCCCTGTTGAGCATGAGCCCAAGGTAGGGCTCCATCCCACAATCGTGAAGATCATGACCTGCGCTGAAATCAAGAGTCGGACACTTAACACACTGAGCCACACAGGTGCCCCTCTCTTGTATTTTTAAATGAAATGAACATATGGATTACAGATACTATCTCACAGTAGGAAATAATTCAAGAAAGTGTATTTTAGCAAAAAAAAAAAAAGTACACTCAACATTTTTTCTAGTAGGGTTCTCAACCAAACACTCAAAATAGTGCAATGGGCAAGTACTGAACTAATAATAAGGATCAGGGGCACCTGGGTGGCTCAGGTGGGTAAGCGTTTGCCGCTCAGTGAGGAGCCTGCTTCTCCCTCCCCGCTGCCCACCCCCCGCCCGTGCTCTCTCTGTGTCAATTAAATAAAATCTTAAAAAAAAAATTATTAAAACTGGTTCCAGTAAGAATTCTACTACTTAACTAGTTGTGACATCTCAGCCAAGTCAAAGTGACTACAAGTCTATATTTTCTCCTCTACGCCTTGTGAAGTCAGAATGGTTAGACACACTTGTCAGTTTCTGCTAACTGTATCTGCTAACAGGCTAATGGACAAATTTTGAATGGCTGATTTCAAACTTTGTTTTCTTTATGAATGTTATTTATTTTATTTTTTTTAAAGATGTTATTTGACAGAGAGAGACACAGCTAGAGAGGGAACACAAGCAGGGGGAGAGGGAGAGGGAGAAGCAGGCCTCCTGCGGAGCAGAGCCTGATGCAGGGCTCGATCCCAGGACCCCCCGAGCCGAAGGCAGACGCCTAACGACTGAGCCACCCAGGCGCCCCTGAATGTTATGTTTCTTAAATGACATGGTCTAAGACATAAGACAGAATTCTCTTACGCTCACATTTAACTTCTGCTTTAAGGTATGATTTCAAGTTTCTGACTAAAATTAAACCAAAAACGAATGCCCCACAAAACTTGTCCCTAACCTGCTGGGTTCACAAAGGCAGTCAAGATAATACAAGTACTTGGCTAGGGCAGAAGAACAAAAACCTGATGGAAATCAGGACAATGGTGACGATCTTAGGAAATCTTTTAGTGTGTAGAGGGAAGGAAAGCTGCTGGAAATGAAGAAAGAATGTCTCAGAAGTAGAAGGCGATCCTTTACTTCCTCTAAGTCCCTACAGCTTTACTATAATATTATGCAAACATAAGCATTCTGATGAGTTTTGTTCGTTCAAGTGGAAGTTTCTTAGTGAAGAATGGTACAGAAGAGAAATGTATGGAAACTGCTCGACTGCCGTGTGCCTAGGTTTCCTCATCTGTAAAAACAACATGTACTTCAGAAGCTTGCTAGGAGGAATAAATGAAGTCATGTTTCTAAAGGTATGTTAGCTCACAGTGCTGACACTTCGTAGGTGGACTGTAAATGTCAGTGATTATTAATGCGGGAAAGAAGCAAGCAACAAAGTAGGGAAACTGAAAATCAAACTCAACACACTTAATGCAGAAAGACAATTATTTAAAATGAGATCAGTTCCAATGTGGTAATTTGTAATTTAAGAAAAATTTAACCCTTACTCATTTTTAAATTTTTGTCTGAAAATGGTCCTATCCCAAAGATATGGAAGTAGTGCATGTGGTGTGCTTGGGACACTTATACTGAAAACAAAACATAAATTCAGGCATTGTTATCAGTCATCTTGAATCTCTAAAGAAAAGTTTTCTTAAAGGGGGAGCACATTTATAACTCTGTTCATAACAACACTTTTATTCATTTCAGATGTGAAAAGATCAGACTGCTAAAATGGTAAGGGCGAGGGGAACAAAACAGATTAGAATTGGGAAAGCAAAGAGGGAAGCCTTATATAGGCTTAATTGGTTTCAGCATTTACTGATGCTGGCAAACCAGCATAAAACGATAGATTTGAAAGCTGCCCTGTAAAAAATTATTCTACAGATGTTAATATAATTATTCATAACACGCCTAGCTGTCTTGTTGCGTAGAGACCACCTGACTTAGGAGCACACAACTTATCAATGAAAGAACACAAGTCAAACATCCCTCGTTATTAAACCATGTCACACTCTTCCTAGTCCCCAGTACTTATTAGACTGCAGATCCCATAATCCTCTTCTGAGTCCCTTCTGCGTTTAATTCAGTTCAGTCTTAAGTAGTTAAAGAAACTGTTTTTAGTGGCAACTAATAACTACTGACCTACAGTGACACTGCCCTACAATAGGCTTGTCAGCCCTGAAAAAGTTGTACCAAAGAAGCTGATTAGGACTTCAAGAGGTTTGTAGCAAGAATCAATGGTTGGTCTGTACTAATGCTGTGTTGCCCGCACAGAAATGATAAAAGTGGAACACCATTAGTTATGCCTCATTAAGCTGCACAAGCCTTCTAAAAAGAAATTTGTTTAGCCTGATCAAAACCTAATACAATTTTAAGCTCTCTGTGTTGCATTTTTCAGGGCACCTTAAAACATTCAAAAAAATAAAGGCCAAGGACCAAGGAAAGTGGGAAAGTATATAAAGAGAGGAGTCTTTTAACTCAACATGTTAGGCATCTATTTTCCTAAAGGACAAGCACAACAGAAACTGTTTAGAGGAAAGAAGGTACATTTCGAACCATGGAGAAAGCCCAAACCTCAAATGTTGATGTGGAAAAGTATTTAAAAGTCATGTTTGCTTTAATATTACCTGTCAAATCTTTGCTGCTGGAAAAGGGGAGGAGGACCCCGCCAGGAATCCTGTGGCCTCATATCTGGAAAACAAACAGGGAAAGGTTAAAAGAAGATTTTAAGTAATCACAACCATAAAAATCCTAGAAGAGAGCACAGGCAGTAATTTCTCTGACATAGGACATAGCAACTTTTTTCTAGATATGTCTCCTGAGGCAAGGGAAACAAAAGCAAAATTAAACTATGGGGACTACATCAAACTAAAAACCTTCTGCAGAGTGAAGGAAACAATCAAAACTAAAAGACAACCTACAGAATGGAAGAAGGTATTTGCAAAGGACATATCTGATAAAGGGTTAGTATCCAAAATATATAAAGAACTGATATGACTCAACACCAAAAAAACCCCCACAATCCAATTAAGAAGTAATCACTATTCTGCTACCCATATATTTTCATAATTAAAAATTCTTGAAAAAATCTGAGACAGAATATAAACCAAATAAACTAGCATAATTACACAAACTGCAAATGTAAAAAGTCAGAAAATCAACAGGGTCAGTAAATTTTTCATTATTTTTCATTTGATAATGGACCACAGTTTTAGGAGTCTTAGTCATTAAATTCCTACATTTCTCTCTCACTGCCTATGTACGTGCGCGTGAGTATGTAAAGGTATATGTTTTCCACATTTTTATTTTAAATGCTGTGCAAAAGAAAGGGATTTAGGTTCTTTTCCATAAATGCAACTGAATGAATAGTAACTTCAACAGAAATCGAGAATTTCCCCCTAAGCACGGAAACTGGAAGGAACCCTGGCTTACCTAGCTATCATAACAAAGTGGAGGGCACACATCTCTCCAACACAGGCCAGGAAGATGCTAATAAAGGGACCATCCACTTTTCTACTGTTTTCTGAGAGTCACACCTCCTCCCCTAACACAAAGCTGAACTGGCAACATCGGACTCCAAGAGACAATTACGTGGTTGCTGCTCCTGCACCTAACCAAGTGAAGCTGGAAGACGCAGCTGTAAACACCGGCCGGGCAGGCACTCAGCAGCTCAGCAGGTCATGTTAACCAACTGCCACTGCGCTCTGGTCTCCAGTCTTGCAGTCACCTTGGCCACCCTTCAGCAGGGTCTGTGTGTGACCTAATTAAAACAGCTGGTTCCAGGAGTTGTCTAATGAGTTCACTGTGTGAGGACAGTAACCTCCTCCAGACTCTCGAGACCCAAGGACAACAAGGCTTACCATAATGTATTCAGGCTCACATTTTAATGGAAACACAAACTAGAAACATGCTTTTCAAAATTACTTTCTTAAAGGAAAGAAGAAATGAAAGCTTATCTCTGGTTAGGAACCAAAAAAATACAATCTGAGTTTACTTAAAAATGGGGGGTGGGGTGGGAAGAAAAGTGGAATTGTGCTTAAAAGAAAGCCCCACAAAGGAGAATATGGAACAAGTAGAGGATCTAGCTGTTCACATGATTCCAGTGTGAACAACCCACTCCTGCTTCGGGCTCCCCCCACCTCAACAAGGCTGACAATGCCCCCTGAAGACAGTTTCCTAAAAAGACAACCACCCTTGGCCAGGGCAGGGGGACAGCCATAGCGCACTGCCTCTCGGCCAGCACGAAGTGTCCAGCAGCCAAACCCACAACAGATGCTTCTCTTGGAAAGGAGCAGGGAGCCTTAACCACCATTACTTTCATGCAGAAACCCATTCTGAATTGAAAGGTGGCACCTCTAGTCAATTTCAATTAAGTCCCTTTCCTTCTCTTAAAAGCCAGACTAGTAGTGGTCAAACTAAGGAACACTGCTGAGGAGTTTTCATAGCGGTCATTAGATATTCCAAACCTGAATGGGGACGCACAAGGTTTATCACCATACAAACCCCAGCAAACAGGGCCAGAAGGATCCCTACACGCAGCCTAGAATAACTTCTGAATCACTACTACAGACCATATACAATCAGGAAATCATAATCATGAGAGGTAAAACCAGAAATTCCTACAAAAACAGCAATGATCATCTGTGTGGTTTATTCCTATGGAAAAACATGAGATACACTTACCTCAACACATGCATGACTTTCAACACATTACCACTCATGAGAAAGCAATCTACTGAAAGTAAAATCAATTTTTGGGCCACTTTTTCTTTTTTTAAAGATTCATTTGAGAGAGAAAGAGTGAGAGCGAAGAGAGAGAGAGAACATGCATGGGGGGGAGGGGCAGGAGAGGAAGAAGCAAACTCCCCGCTGAGCAGGGAGCCCGATTTGGCGCTCAATCCCAGGAGCCTGGGATCATGACCTGAGCCGAAGGCAGACACTTAACAGACTGAGCCACCCGGGCGCCCCTCTGATCATTACTTGTTAAACGTGATAGGCCTCTGGTCTATTCAGATATTGTACACAAGTTAGTTTCATGAGAACTGGTTAAAATGTTTCTAGAAGTATATTTTATTTTAGTGTCTTACATATATAAAATTAGCTAATATAACCAAAGTCAAAAGAAATACAGTGAATTTCATTTGGACCCCTGTCTGTATTTCACATATGTCCCAGAATCACTGAAGTCACCCTGGAAACATGCCCCTTTTTACCATGAAGACTTAATTCCGTGATTCTGGTTCCATGGTGTCTCTATATACATGGTATCATCACAGAATACATACTCTCCGTGGTACTTGTAAAAGCTTCCACACAGGATCCCTAATACATTTTAAATCAAGCAAAAATAGTAAGATACATCTAAATCAAGAGAAACCTTCAGAAATGTTTATCCTAATGTTTCATGAAAAATAAAAGCAGAAAAAAATCTGGTATTATTTTCTCCTAGAAACAGTACAAATGGAGGGAAAATCACCATCATCCAGAATACATATTCATTAGATTCAAATATGCTTCATGTTAGATTAAGCACAACAATATTTCTAAGTGGAACTGGAATGTAAAGTTCATTAAGTAGAAATACTTTCTTTGGAGAGAAGGAATCCTTCGTAATAGTCTACCTATACAACTGCCTAGACAAATAGTAAAAGTCCCTATTTCCATCATTTTTAGTATGCCAGGTACTTCGCACTCTATTTTGCTTTTAACTATTTCTCACTTCCAGAACAATTGCTTTCACATAAACTTAGCACATGCAAAAACCATAGTTTTTTGTTAAAACCTAGGCAAATTTCATGACATAAAAATTCTGTCATACAGTTGTAAAACATCTCTTGCTTTCAAGCATTAAAGAAAAATAAAAAGGATCAAAGAAAACCTTCAAGGCTACTTTTAAACAAATCTCTTCATGTGGCTCTGAGAAATATATATAACCCTTAAGTATTCATAAAGCAGAAATATCTCCTGGCTGATAAGTAATGAAGTATAAAGTAAAACTTATTATCATTCATTTGTATGGCTCTAACAGAAGATCCATTGAGAGGGAGGGAAAAAAAATTCTAAAGTAGTGAATTGCACTTCAGAAAGGTACCAGTGAGAGAGGAAAAATGACAGTTAATTTTTTCCTTTGGTCTTTAAAAACTTATCCCTTTTCTAAAAGCTCTAAGGCCATATAAACCAAGGCTTCACGAATAGCTCCTCAAGTGACAATTTACCTAATCAGCGTGGCAATCACAGGAAAGATTCCATGTTTACTGATTGCACTAATCAAAAATCACTTTCCAAATGCGGCTAATTGACAAGTTTACCAACTGAAATGAAGAGAAGTGACATACTGGGTTCTCTGGGTTGCAGGAGTGAAATGCTTTATTCTCACATGGAGTACTCAAGGCTGCACTTGACTCCAGCAAGTTATCAGTACCCAAACAATTACTCATCAGCCAAAAACTGACATATCAAAGACAAATCAAAAACCAACAGTGAAAAACACCTAGAGCAGACAGTTTGACCAAATGGCCTATGTTGAGTGTTACTTTGTACCACATGAAAAAAATAGCTATGATACTACAAATATTTTAAAAAATTAAATGGCTCAGATCTCAAGTTTACTATAACTATTTCTGACCAAATTTCAAAGATTCTATAAAAAAGAAAGCTGATCTTTTAACATTTATTTAATGCCTTCATAGCACTTACTGTGAGCTAGGCACCATTTCCAGCGCTTAATAACTTTAACTCCTTTATTATGGATATTTTGTGAGAGGGGTATTCCCAGTACCATTTTAGAAATGAGGAAACGGGAGTACTGATAAAAACCCAGGGTCACAGGGCTACTAAGTGGCAGAGTAAAAGCCAGGGGCTATGTTCTCTTAACCACTCTACACTAGGCTACACTATGCTACTCCAAGGTTCACATGAACTTGTGCTGTTGGTAGAGGTGACTTGTCCAGGTTACTTACAGAAGATCGGAGGAGAACCACTACCTTAACCAGGAGGCTCACAAGCTTAGGGTTTCAAGAAGGCAGGATTAGGGATTTAAAAACTACTTTCAACATTTCAAAAGTTTAGAATTAACATTATCCCATACATCTAATTAAGACAGGAAGGAAAAATAAATGTATTTAACACATATACTTTGGTTACCATCTTGACAAACACAGATTCATGGGGAGAAAATAAGAAAAAATTTTTGGTTAAAACATCTGAAATCACTGCTTTTTTTTTCCTTCTTTTTTTAAGTAATCTGTATACCCAGGCACTTCAACCTGCACAAAATTCAGACTCAGCATGTTCTTCCATATTCCTTCACCCACCTGGGTTTCCAAATTCTCATTAGTCACCCAGATGTCCACAGTACACACGAGCCTCATCTTCTCTCCCTCATGTAACATATTCAATTATCCAGTTCTTCAGTTCCTCCTCTCCTATCTTCTCCACTTTGAATCCACTTTGCCACAGATCAGCTCAGACCTTCATCTTCCCTCCCTAACTAGAACCACCACCAAGTCTTTTCCAAAACCAACAGAGTGTGGTTCTAGAAAGGAGATGTAACTGCACTCTTCTACTCAGAAAGAGTTTTCTTAAAGAGCTCTTATAAATAAAAAGAATTGCACATAAATTAATAAATTAGCAAGGAGCAAGAACAGGCAATTTATTAAGGAAAAACTGGTTAGTAAAAAGTACGATTGAAG